CTCCGGCCCTCTGGAATGAACTGCCCCCAGAGATCCGGACCCTACCCACTCTCATGGCCTTCCAAAAGGCTATTAAAACCTGGCTATTCTGGTAGGCCCCAGGCTGTTGACCTCAAGACTGAGGTCCAGCCCCGATTAGACTGGGTGTATGTTGTGGCTTTTTTTAAAATCTATGTTTCTTTGTTTTAACTTTTCTATTTTTAAATGTATTTGTTGTAAGCCGTCTGGAGTCCTTCGGGATTGGGCGGCCTATAAATTCATTAAATCTAATCTAATCTAATCTGCCCATCCTTGCAATCAGCATGGAAATCCATTTACATTTCTGGGTGAACAGCTCATGGATCGAGCAGAATATCAGAGGTTTAAATAAAACCAAAAACTTGATTACTTGATGATTCCAGACTTCTTCTCATGCAGTTTCTCTTTCAAAAACTATTCTTTGTTCCCACAAGGTCTAGGATTAATCAGCGATATGACATTCATAGATGTGTCTTTCCTGGTACAGGTACATCACCAAAAATGTCAGGAAGCCAACTAGAGCTTATGGAGTTAAGAGGATATTTAAACTTTCTTCCTATGTGACTTCCAAGATCACATGAGGACACTCAGGACCATAACCTGATCCCAAGGGTGCAGTGATTCTAATAAAATGATTTCCCATACAACCTAGGGTTCACCGACAAATGTGCACCCGACAAAAGTGCGCCGACAAAACTGTGGCGAGAAAACCGCGAGGACGAAATCGCGCCCACAAATGCGCGCCGATGAAAGCACGCCATCAAGAAACAACGCAAAACAATGTAGTAACAACGTAATAACAACTTAATAACAACGTAATAACAACATAATAACCCTAACCCTAACCCTAGCCCTAACCCTAACTCTTACCTTAACCCTAATCGCACTTTTGTGGGCACGGATTTGTTGGCGCTCTTTTGTGGGAGCGCTTTTGACCTCACGGTTTTCTCACAGCGGTTTTGTCAGCGCGCTTTTGTCGGGTGCACATTTGATGGGTCACGCAACCTAGTCTATCCTTTGGGGATGACCAAAGTTTCTATCAGCTGTGGGGAAGCCTGACCAGCTTCTTAACTTTTTAATACTGGCATCACTGAGGAAAGAGGATGCAAGTCTGATTCTTCAGTATATTAAATAATCAAAAGAATACTTATTATGCCTAGGATAATATGAAAAAAAAACTCTCAGTAAGGAAAGGAGCAAACACATATCTAAATGCAAATGATTCAGATGTACTAAAAGTGATTAACAGATACTGAATGTCTGCATATCTAAATGCTCTTGGCAAAATAAAGTATTCAATTCAATTCAGTTCAATTCAAATAGTGATACAATACATTTTATTTTCCATTTCAACTCACTTTCTTCATACCCCCCACTTCTATGCCCATTTATGTAAATAACATCTATCAAATATTTTCCTACCATATCATAACCACAGATTGAACCTTCTGCAGCTGGCATAAATTTGGTTTCACATTTTCTGCCAACTCGATGGCACCACAATGCTTTACAGATATCCTGGATGGGAAAATAGCAACAAGGGAAGTACTGCGTTAAGAATGATTTATTTCCAAATACATCCATAGTTAGAACAAAAAATAGCTTATAGAAGGAAAGCAAAGGGGTGCTCTTAGTAGCTACATATCATACAACATCTACATACAGAGTTGGGGGTTTTGCCTATCTTAGAACAGGACAAGAACGATATGGAGGGGCAGCAATGACGATGACAGAACTTCTGCATGTATAACATCCATGGAATTCCATGGAATGACGAGAAATGTTACTCAAATACAGGTGGTCCTTGAATTATAACAATTCATTTGGCAACCATTTGAAGTTACAACAGCACTGGAAAAAGTGACTGATGGCTGCTTTTCTCACTTATGACCATTGAAGCATCTCCATGATCATGTGGACCAGTGGTGGGTTCTGAATTCCGTTGCAGTCGGTACAGTTGCAAAGGGGCCCGGTGTACTCCACATGAATGCACGCAGAAAGCGCATGCATCTTACCCTCTAGCGACACCTCCGCAAGCTTCCGCGATGCTCCAGATGCTCGGTGGAACATCGCGCAGGCACTGTATGCACTGTGTGCATGCGCGGAAGCGCTGAAGAGTTTAAAGACAGGTAAGGAAGGTGGGCGATGGGCGGGGCCCTCTGGAGTACGGTACTGGAACGGTGGTCTGTACCGGGGCCTGTACCAGGGTGTACCGCCTGTAACCGACCACTGTCGTGGACAAAATGTAGATGCTTGGCAACTAACTCATATTTATGGCAGTTATAATGTCCCGGGGCCATGTGATCTGACAAGCAAAGTCAATGGGGAAGCCAGATTCATTTAATAACCATGTTAGTAACTTAACAACTGCAGTGTTCACTTATTAATGGTGGCAAGAAAGGTCATAAAATGGGGCAAAACTCATTTAACAATTGTCTTGCTTAGCTACATTAATTTGGGGCTCAATTGTGGTTGTAAAGTGAGAATTACCTGTAACTGAGTTTTCTATCCAAATACTGTATAAGGGATCAATACAAATGTTTCAAATCAAACCAAGAGATTCTTTTCTGGATTTCTATCAGAGGTGGGTTCCTACCAGTTCGCACCTATTCGGTAGAACCGGTTCGTCAAATCTACCGAACCGGTTAGAAGAGNCAAATAGGGTAATTCCA